AATTTAATGCAAAATTTAAAAAAAGATTAGTTATCAAATAATGTGCAAACATTTAATGTAGATTTTGAGCGGGAATTTGGCAGCTGCTCCGCTTTAATATATATATAGATAGTTAACTAATTGATGGTGTGATTAGGAGAAAATTGAGTTAATTGTGTCAATAATCACGACATTATTGCAGCTGACAAGTCAAATTCTGTCTCAAATTATTGATTAATTAATTGATAAATGAATGACTAATCTCATGCAACACACCAAACGACATGTAGCTGTTCAAGTGCATGTGGTTGTTACTGATTTTGTTACTTACTAATGACTCTTTGATATGTTCTCTGACAGATTTCTTTTAACCACTTAATTAATTCATTTTTTTTTTTTTTTCATAAAAAGATGTGTATGTGGTCAATTACTAAAATAATCCCCCTATATATCTATACTTGTATTAAAAGCTATACTATTTACTAAATGTAGTATGTAGAATAGTCAACTCTAATTAATGATTTGCTATTTTTATCAAGCATTTAATTAATGCATCTAATATTTTTGGTATGCAAATCAAATTAGCATTTAATTAGTTCCTAAAATATTGGGTATGTAATATTAATTTAGGAATATCAATGTAGTTCATAAAATGTTGGTATCTAATACGTAAAATAAGATTTTTTTTTAAATATAAAATATTGCAACACGTAAAACTATTCCAGTTATTTTTTATTTTATTTTACATATAAAATCTAATCAATATTTAATGCATCCTACAAAATTTGATTTAGTTTAATTCTCCATACAATTGGCCGTAACTTTTTTCAGTTGTACTTTTTTTATTTATTTATTTTACACTTTTAAATTAATGAAGCTCTCTGAAAATATCAAATCAAATGATTTATGAAAGTTTTTTTTTTACAATTTTAAATATATATAACCAGCTTAAAAAACTCATCGCATAGATATGGACGAGTTTAAGAAAATTTCATAACCCACCTTATAAAATTTCATCTCCACGAGTCAAAAAAATCACATCCCTCATCTATCGTAACAACTTTAATGGTAAACAAATAAAAGTCTAATTACTACTATAAATCCATTATCTATATAGATTTTTTAAAAATCTAAATTTCACCTGTCTAATTACTAATATTTTAAATACTTTTAAATATTATTTGTATAAAGTTAGGTAACTTTAAACATTATTTGTGAATAATATAGAATATTTTAGATGCTTTTATAGATGTTATAAAATATTTTAAGTATTTATATATTACACATAAAAAGAATAATTTGCCAAAATAAGAACATTAAATACACATTGTAAATGTTAATAGAAATATTTTTCAGTGTTCATCTTTGAATTTGTCAAAAAAAATCTCATAAAATCGGTGAAGTCAAAATTTGTACGTAAAGTCTATCTATACTAAAAAAAAGATAGATTCAAAATTCTTTATCTAATTTCTTCTTTTCTTTA